TTCTCAACAAAAACACTAGAGGCCAGAAGGGAATGGCATGAAGTAATCAAGGTCATGAAAAACAAGGATCTGAATCCAAGACTACTCTACCCAGCAAGGCTGTCATTCAAAATAGAAGGTCAAATAAAGAGCATCCAGGGGAAAAAAAGGCAAAGGGAACAGATTAACACCAAAACAGCACTGTAACAAATGATGAAAGGACTGCAGTGATTAGAAAAAATAGAAAGAAAAATACAATCACACTAAACAAAATGGGCAATAAATAAGTACATATCAATAATCACCTTAACTGTAAATGGTTTCCATGTTCCAATAAAAAGACACAGGATAGCTGATTGGATGAGGAAGCATGACTCATATATATGTTGTTTACAAGAGACCCACATCACAACAAAAGATTCACATAGGTTGAAACTGAAGGGATGGAAAAAAATCTTCCAAGCAAACCAAAAAGAAAAAAAAGCTGGGGTAGCAATACTCATATCTGATCAAATAGATTTCAAAATAAAGGCCATTACTAGAGACAAAGAAGGTCACTACTTAATATTGAAAGGATCTATCCAACAGGAAGATATAACCTTGGTAACATATGTGCACTCAATACAGGAGCACCAACATATATTAAAAATTTTTTGGAGGAATTCAAAGGAGAAATTGACAGCAATACAATCATAGCAGGGGACTTCAACATCCCACTGACATCACTGCATAGATCCTCTAGACAAAAAATTAGCAAGGAAACAGAGACTCTAAATGAAGCACTAGACCAAATGGATTTAATAGATATCAACAGAGAATTACACCCCAAAACTAGAGAATTCACATTCTTCTCAAGGGCACATGAAATATTCTCAAAGACAGACCACATGTTAGGACATAAACTGAGTCTCTACAATTCAAGAAGATTGAAATCATATCAAGCTTCTTCTCTGATCACAATGGCATGAAACTAGAAATCAATTGCAACGAAAACATGCAAAGACATTTGAACACATGGAGGCTAAAAATACCATGTAAGTAAACATTTGAATGGATTACCAAGGAGATCAAGAAAGAAATTAAACACTTTTTGGAAACCACTGAAAATGAACACACAACAAGACAAAATCTGTGGGATACAGCAAAAGCAGTTCTCAGAAGGAAGTTCATAGAATTACAGGCCTACCTCATGAAACAAGAAAAATGTCTAATAGACTATCTAACCTCACAACTTAAAGAACTAGAAAGCAAACAAAAAGAAAATCCCAAGTAAGAAGAAGAAAGGAAATAGTAAAGATCAAAGCAGAAATAAACGACATAGAGACAAAAAAAAAAAAATTCAAACGATCAATGAAACCAGAGTTTCATTGATTTTGAAAAACCAGAGTTGGTTTTTCTAGTTTCAAAAACCAGAGTTGGTTTTTCGAAAAGATAAAAAAGATTGATGGGTTCTTAGCTAGACTCACCAAGAAACAGAGGACCCGAATACAAAAAATCAGAAATGAAAGAGAAGTAACAACTGACACCACAGAAATAAAAAGGATGGTAAACAAATACTATGAACAATTATATGGCAACAAATTTGACAATCTAAATGAAATGACAAATTTCTAGAAACACACAGTCTCCCTAAACTGAACTGGGAGGAGACAGAAAACTTGAACAGACCAATAACAACTAAGGTAATTGAAGTAATCAAGACTCTCCTAGCAAACGAAGGCCCATGCCCTGATGGCTTGCTTCATGGAGGAGTTTTACCAAAGATTCAAATAAGAACTAACATCCATTCTCCTCAAACTATATCAAAAAATTCAAGAAGACAGACAGACTTCCAAACTCTGTTTATGAGGCCATCATAATTCTAATTACAAAACCAGAAAAAGACACTACAAAGAAAGAAAACTACAAGCCAATATCCCCAATGAACACATAGGCCTAAATCCTAAACAAAATACTAGCAAATCGAATCCAGCAATACATCAAAATAATTATTCACCATGACCAAGTGGAATTCATCCCAGGGAAACAAGACTGGTACAATATTCGCAAATCAATAAATGCAATACACCACATAAACAAAATGAAGAATAAAAACCACATGATCATATCAGAAGATGCTGAAAAGCATTCAACAAAATCCACCACCTATTTCTGATAAAAACGCTTAGCAATGTGGGAATGAGAGATCATATCTCGACTTTATAAAGGCCATAAATGAAAGACCTACAGCCAACATCATACTCACTGGGCAGAAACTAAAAGTATTTCCCTTAAAAACAGAAACAAGACAGGGACATCCACTTTCGCCACCCTTATTTAACATTGTACTGGAAGTCTTAACTACAGCAATCAGACATGAAGAAAAAATAAACGGGATCCAAAATGAAAAGGAGGAAGTGAACCTGTCATTATTTGCAGATGACATGCCTTTATACATAGAAAACCCTAAAGACTCCATCAAAAATCTACAAGACTTAATAAATGAATTTGGCAAAGTAGCAGGAGACAAAATTAACATCAAGAAATCGATGGCATTCTTATACACCAATGAGGAACTCACAGAAAGAGACGATAAGAAAACAATTCCATTTACCATCACAGCAAAAAAATTAAGATACCTAGGAATAAACTTAACCAAAGAAGTAAAGGACCTACAGTATTTGCAGAAAACTACAGGACATTGAAAAAAGAAATAGAGGAAGATATAAAAAAGTGGAAGCACATACCTGGTTCATGGGTTGGAAGAATTAACATCATTAAAATGTCCATGTTACCCAAAAAAATCGATAGATTCAATGCAATCCCCATCAAAATACCAACAACATACTTCAGAGAACTAGAACAAATGCTTCAAAGGTTCATATGCAATCAAAAGAGACACAAAATAGCCACAACACACTTGAAAAAGAAGGACAAAGTAGGTGGGATCACAATACAGGATATCAGGCTACACTACAAAGCAACTGTAATCAAAAAAGCCTGGTACTGGCACAAGAACAGGCATATAGACAAATGGAATAGAACAGAGAACCCAAAAATGAACCCAAGACATTATACTCCATTAATATTTGACAAAGGAGGCAAGCGCATACAATGGAGTAAAGATAATAGACCATCAACTTACACCTTACACAAGAATAAACTCAAAATGGATAAAAGACTGAAATGTGATGCGTGAATACATAAAAATCCTAGAAAATGTAGGCAAGAAAATTTCAGACATCATATGCAGCAGAATTTTCACTGATACATCACCTAAGGCAACAGAAACAAAGGAAAAAATGAACACATAAGACTATATCAAACTAAAAAGCTTCTGCAGAGCAAACATTAAATCAACAAAATGGAAAGGCAACCTACTGTATTGGAGGGCATAAATGCCAATGATACATCAGATAAGGGGTTAATTTCCAAATATATAGAGTACTTATACAACTCAACAAAAGGAAGACAAAGAACACAATTAAAAAATGGGCAGAGGAGCTAACAGACACCTCTCCAAACAGGACATACAAATGGCCAAGAGAAGTTGAAGAAATGCTCAACATCACTAATCATCAGAGAGATGCGAATTAAAAGAACAGTGCGATATCATCTCACATCTGTCAGAAAGGCTGCCATCAACAAATCATCAAACAAGTGTTGGCGAAGGTGTGGAGAAAAGGAGACACTAGTACACTGCTGATGAGAGTGCAGACTAGTGCAGCCACTATGGAAAACACTAATGGTGTTACCTCAGACAATTAAAACTTGAATTGCCATTTGATCCAGTGATCCCACTTCTAGGAATATACCCTAAGAAGCCTGAAACACCAATCAGAAAGAATATATACACCCATATGTTCATAGTACTATTTACAATGGCTAAGATCTGGAAATAGCTCAACTATCCATCAGTAGATGAGTGAATAAAAAAGCTGTGATATCTATGGAGGGACCTGGAGAGTATTATGCTAAGAGAAATAAGCCAGTCCGAGAAAGTCAAATACCATATGACTTCACTGAAATGTGGAATCTAATGCACAAAATAAACTAACAAATAAAATAGGAACACTCATATATAGAGAATAGACTGACAGCTGTCAGAGGGGAGGGGGTTTGGAGACTGGGTGGAAAAGGTGAAGGGATTAAGCAGTACAAATTGATAGTTACATAATGACCAGAGAGATGTAGATTAAAGTATAGGCTACCTTGGAGATTTTCTACTATAATCTCTTCTTCCTTATCCATTCTAACCCACTTGATAGATTATTTTGTTTTTAAAAAAAGCAAGACTCAAAGACATTAAATGATATCAATGGCAACAGCACACCTGAGATTAGGACTAATTTCCTAACTCCCTATACTATGTTCTACCCACCATAAATTTATCAACTTTCTGTAATTTCACCAATTGTTACACTTTGTGCTCATAAAGTGTGAGCTGATGATGTGAACACTCCAATTTTTGTTATTCGTGATATTCTACTTTCAAAATTCCATTTTCTATTATCTTTATCAAACTCATCTTCTTCTTTACCCACCTATATTTATTGCATATCACTTAAGGTGATGAAAACAAAACATGAATAATATTTTGAACAGATCAGTATTAGTTTTTCAACTAGTAAAAAAAGTACTTTACAAAAACTTTTCAAAAGTATACTGTGAGCCCAGCTGGTGTGGCTCAGTGGAATGAGTGTCATCCCTGGACTGAACTGAGAGGTCCCAGTTCAATTCTCAGTAAGGGCACATGCCCAGGTTGCAGGCTCAGTCCCCAGTAGGGGGCGTGCAGGAGGTAGTCAATCGATGTTTCTCACATCAATGTTTCTCTTTCTCTCTCTCTCTATCTCCTTTACTCTCTAAAAAAATCAATAAAAACATTTCAAAAAAATAATTATACCTTGAAAAATAAGTCACACTAGTTGTTATACATTTGTTTATGTAAATATGCATTTAGTTTAAATAATAAAATAATTATAGAAATGATAAATTATCACTTTAAGTTGAATAATCTGTATGATCCAGGAGATTGGAATTACCTGTAGGTGTAGTTCTTTATCCAACTGACTGATTCCTTGGGCAAGTTTTGCTAGTTGTTCAGCAATTACAGCTTGATGAATAGATTGGGCAGTATAAGTCTTTACATCAAAGTCTTCATTTAAAAAATCACTATAACACTCTGAGAAAAAAAAAAAATCTTTATTTATTAAGTACACTGTACTAAACTGCAGATATTAAACAATAGAACAATTACAATCATAGTTAACATATTTTGAGGTCTTTCTAAACACCAGAAACTGTTGTAAATACTTCCTGTTATAAACGAGAGGAGGAGGAGACAACAGTGGAAGAGAGAACTAATACTCATTGAGAGCTTAGTATGCGCCAGGCATTGATATAAGCACTTTACAAGTATTAACTCACTCAATCCTAACACAACTCTGTTCGAACTGCCATTTTCTGCATTTCACAGATGAAGTAACAGGTACAGGCATGGCATGCAACTTGTCCAACCTGTCTGAGATTTGAACCCAGGTGATATAGCTTCAGAGCTCCCACACTGAATCACTGTGCTACACTACGAAAAGCTAACCTTCATCAGTGGATGAAAGAGAACAGTAAGTAAAAGATTAAAAATTAACTACTCACCATAATCTTTAAGACAATAAAACAAGGTCAGGGACACTGACAACAGGAAAATTGACTGTAATTGATATTTAAGGTCTCTAATAAATCTAGATCAATGCATAAATATTGTTATAATACAGTGAATCTGGAATTTTAATAGAAATAGCCAAATACAAACTTGTAAGTATTGATGAAATTTAGGGTTTATGGGTTAAATAGCAAATGGAATGACAAACTGTTCAATATAGACCTTTAATAAACAGGAAAAAAATGATGCTAGATATTAACATATCTTCCTGTATAGAAATCCCCAAATCTGTGAATGAAGGAAAAAATGTAGAAAATTATGAGTTTAAAATAGATATACAGCCCTGGCCAGTTTGGCTCAGCACTTGGAGTCGGCCCGCAGTCCAGAGAGTACTGGGTTCAGTTCCCACTAAGGGCATGTACCTCATTTGCAGTTGTTCCCCAACCTTGGTTGGGTCGTGCATGTGGAACCACTTGATGTGTTTCTCTCACATCGATGTTTCTCTCTCTCTCTTCCTCCCTCTCTCCCTCCCACTCTTTCTGAAGATAAATGCAAACATGCCCTCGGGTGAGGATTAAAGAAAAAAAGTGGAATTCCAAAATGGCCGTGGAGTGAATGGAAGGTACACAGACCGTCTCCGAGGACCAAACTGGAAATACAACTAAAACACAGACAAATCGACAGGAAAAAGCAACAGAAAAGCAGCTTGTGAGGACCATATAACCAGGGACACTGACTCAATCCCGGTAGGATTGTGGAGGCGCGAGGGGGGGTTGAGAGCCCGGGGTCAGCAGCTCTGCAGCAGCCTTAGCTGTGAGCAGCGCCGTTGGGTTAAACTCCCAAGCTGCTACACAGCACAGAGCTGGGACAGATGCTAAAATAGCCAGAGCTACTCACCTTGGGCTCTGGCAGAGGGAGGGCAGACTGAACTGGAACTGTGAGGGGACAATCGGGATTTGGAGGGCGCTGAGCTTTTGCTGAGTTGCAGCCACGCAGGACAGTGTCCATATTGGTCCTTCCCAATCAGGGGAGAGGTAGCAGCCACTCCCTCAGAGATTCAACCCCACCCTGTGGACCATTGAAATGCAAATTGAGGCTTACTAATAACCAGCATCTGCCCAACCTGGCAAATCTCCTTATGCTGAGCACCTGAGGGAGATTCTCAATCAACTAACAACCCAAAACTCTTCAAGTAACCTAGACTGCTAACCCTCAGGCAAAAAGCTGGAGGATAACAGTCCCACTCCTGGGCTAGCAACTCTAACCAGGAAAGTGAGACTTGACAGTGGTGTTTAACATGGGTCCTCCCTCACTCATCTAAACCCAGTAGAGGGAGCCACAGAAAACAACAATACCCACAGGGAAAACTTGGCAGGCTCCAAAGCCCACTGTGATAGATCAAATGGTGAAACACAGAAACAAAAGCCAAATGAAAGAACAAGAGAACTCCACCGAAGATAATATCAATGTGGAGCACTTAGGCGACCTAAAAGAGCTAGAATTCAGACCCATGATCTTGAGGAAGTCAACAGCATGAGTAAGGACATAGAGATGCTGAAAATCAACCAACAGGAAAATAAAAACCACCAAGAAGAAATCAAGAGTGACTTATCAGAAATAAAGAACACATTGGAAGGTCTAAAGAGCAGAGTAAAGGAAGCTGAGGATCGGATCAGTGAATAAGAAGACAGGGTAGAAAAAAATCAACTAAACAGAAAACCAAAAGGAAAAAACGATTAAAAAACAGGAAGACAGCTTCAGACAACTGGAAACATAAGAAGATTCACATCATAGGAGTCCCCGAAGAAGAAGAAAATGAGCAAGGGTTAGAGAATATATTTAAAGAAATAGTGACAGAAAACTTCCCTAATTTGGTGAAGGAAGAAGCCATTCAAATTCAAGAAGCACAGAGAGCCCCAAGTAAGAAGAACCCAAACAGGCCCACACCAAGACACACAGTAATAAAAATGCTAAAAATTAAAGACAAGAGAGAATCCTAAAGACAGCAAGAGATATGCAACAGATTACCTACAAAGGAAACCCCAAAAGGCTCTCAGCTGACTTCTCACAAGAAAAACTACAGGCCAGAAGGGAATGGCATGAAGTAATCAAGGTCATGAAAAACAAGGATCTGAATCCAAGACTACTCTACCCATCAAGATTGTCATTCAAAATAGAAGGTCAAATAAAGAGCTTCTCAGACAAAAAAAGGCTAAGGGAATACATTAGCACCAAACCAGCACTGCAAGAAATGTTAAATTAGCAGGAGAAATAGGAAGAAAAATAGAACCACACTAAACAAAAATGGCAATAAATAAGTACATATCAATAATCACCTTAAATGTAAATGGATTGAATGCCCCAATAAAAAGACACAGAGCAGCTGACTGGATAAGAAAGCATGACTCATATATATGTTGTTCATAAGACACCCACCTCACAACAAAAGATTCACATAGGTTGAAAGTTAAGGGATGGAAAAAAATTTTCCCAACATACACAAATCAAAAAAAAATCTGGGGTAGCAATACTCATATCTCATAAAATAGATTTCAAAATGAAGACCATACCACAGACAAAGAAGGCCACTACATAATATTGAAAAGATCAATCCAACAGGACGATATAACCTTGATAAACATATTATGCACCCAACATAGAAGCACCAAAATATATTAAAAATCTTCTGGAGGACTTCAAAGGAGAAATCAATAGCAATATATTCATAGCAGGGGACTTCAACACCCTGTTGACACCACTGGATAGATCCTCTAGACGAAAATTAGCAAGTAAACAGAGACTCTAAATGAAGCACTAGACCCAACAAATTTAATAGATATCTACAGAGAGTCACATCCCAAAACTACAGATTTCACATTCTTCTCAAGTACACATGGGACATTCTCAAAGATAGACCACATGATAGGACACAAACTAAATCTCTACAAGTTCAAGAAGACTGAAATCATATCAAGCATCATCTGAGATCACTAGATCTGGCATAAAACTAGAAATCAATTGCAAGAAAAACATGCAAAGACATTTGAACACATGGAGGCTAAATACCACCTTATTAAACAATGAATGGGCTACCAAGGAGATCAAGGAAGAAATTAAATAATTCCTGGAAACCAATGAAAATGAACACAAGACAACACAAAATCTATGGGATGCAGCAAAAGCAGTTCTGACAGGGAAGTTCATAGCACTACAGGCCTACCTCAAGAAACAAGAAAAATTTCTAATTGACTGTCTAACCTCACAACTTAAAGAATTAGAAAGCAAACAAAAACAAAAACAAAAAAAAACCCAGAGCAAGTAGAAGGAAGGAAATGGTAAAGATCAGAGCGGAAATAAATGACATAGAGGCCAAAAAACCAATTGAAAGAATCAATGAAACAAAGAGTTGGCTTTTGAAAAAGACAAACAAGATTGATGGCCCTTTAGCTAGACTCACCAAAAAACAAAGACAGAGAACCCAAATGCACAAAATCAGAAATGAAAAAGGAGAAGTAACAACTGACACCACAGAACTACAAAAGATCATTAACAGCTAGTATGAACAATAATATGTCAACAAATTCAACATTCTAAGTGAAATGCACAAATTTCTAGAAACACACCATCTCCCAAAACTGGACCAGGAAGAGATAGAAAACTCAAACAGACAAATAACAACTATGGAAATTGAAGAGGTACTCAAGACTCTCCCAGCAAACAAAAGCCCAGGCCCAGATGGCTTCACAGGGGAGTTTTACCGAACATTAAAAAAGAACTAACACCCATTCTCCTCAAACTATTTCAAAAATTTCAAGAAGAAGGAAGACTTCCAAACTCGTTTTACGAGGGCAGCATAATTCTAATTCTATAACCAGAAAAAGGCACTGCAAAGAAAGAAAACTACAGGTCAATATCCCTGATGAACATAGATGCCAAAATCCTGAACAAAATACTAGCATATCGAATCCAGCAATACATCAAAAAAATTATTCACCATGACCAAGTGGGATTCATCCCAGGGATGCAAGACTGGTACAATATTCACAAATCAATAAATGTGATACACCACATAAACAAAATGAAGAATAAAAACTACATGAGCATATCAATAGATGCTGAAAAAGCATTCAACAAACTCCAGCATACATTTCTGATAAATACGCTCAGCAATTTGAGAATAGAGGGATCATATCTCGACATAATAAAAGCCATATATGAAAGATCTATAGCCAACATCATACACACTGGGCAAAAACTAAAAACATTTCCCTTAAGAACAAGACAGGGATGTCCATTTCCGCCACTCTTATTTTACATTGTATTGGAAGTCTTAGCCACAGTAGTAAGATATGAAGAAAAAATAAAAGGGATCCAAATTGGAAAAGAGGAAGTGAACTGTCATTATTTGCAGATGACATGATATTATACATAGAAAACCCTAAAGACTCCATCAGAAATCTACAAGACTTAATAAATGAATTTGGCAAAGAAGCAGGATACAAAATTAACGTCAAGATATCGAC